CTCTAGTCGCGGCATTTACTTAAAATATGTGTGAGACCTGTCTCTAGTCGCGGCATTCACTCGGTTGGGGCAATGATGGACTACTGAGTACGTACAGTATTCACGAGTTTCTTTTCAATAATGTAATAGTCGTTTTACTCCCTCATTGACACAATATAGATAATTAAAATTCAGAAGAAAAAAGGGGGAGGAGAATAAGAGTGACCTTGCCTGTCAGGGCCAGCCTGGGCTAAGGGAGATATGAGAGCCCTATAAAAAAATCGAGATACTTCATTAAGATTCGCCCCAAGTAGGAATCGAACTTGAGTCCAACTGCGAAGCGCCTAACCGCTACACCACAGACGCCGATGCATGAGTGTCGGAAATCGATATGTGTAAAGAAAACATTAGGAAGGGGGGCATTAGGTGTGTGGGAAGGTACCACAGAGTGGGCGAGGCGTTTACTTAGCTGGAATCAAGCTGGGCGGTAGTGTGTACCTATTGGAATGACCCTGTTGCGACCTATTTGTTATGGAATATCCAAGACCACACATTCTGACGAATTTCCGGTTTTCTATGGAGGGTGCCATTTAGCCAAATAAAGTGCAAAGAGAGGAGGGTGCCACTTGCACGTGATTACAGCGAGGGTTTGCTGAATTGGGAGTGTATGGCGAGTTTTTCGGGGATCTTTTCCGCATAACTTGGTTCTTTATTGTTTTGTTTGGGGGTTTTTTTCAATGTAGGAGGTATACAACCCCATGCTATGTCGATGACAGCCTATTCCGATGTGATGAGGTGGTGATTTCAAAACAGAAAGCATTTGCAAAAATCCGAAAATGGCCACTTTTGGTCAACATGGAAATTGGTCATCTAAAACAGATGGACGTCTTGGACGGTGCCATTATAATAAGATAGAAATAACTCAAGAAAAAGGGGTGGGGTGACGTTTTTACTGGTAATTATCTTGGACAGGAGTTAGATTGCATTCATTCTATCATTAAAATTTGATACAACAGACTATGTCATTGATCATATATGTAGTGTCTACGATTACTGTATAACCATATCGTTGCTGGTGGAAATTGTCTTTTCTTTGCAGAATCTCCCTTCAGCACCTCCCTAGTGTCGTAGCCCTAGTGTCGTCGTGACATAGATACATACTCATCACTTGTTGTTCACGGAAATTGCTTTTTTGTGTGCAGATTCTGCCTTCACCAGCGCCCTAGTGTCGTAGCCCTAGTGTCGTCGTGACATACTCATTACTTGTTGTAACTGACGAAAATTGCTTTTCTATTGCAGAATCTGCCTTCACCAGCGTCCTAGTAAAGTGCCGCAGTGACGTACCCTCACATTGTTGCTTCTGACGTTTCATCGCGGAGATGAGGAGCCCTAAATCTATCTTGCTGTTGGGGGCGGTTTTCCTGACTGGTCTCATTCTTCTGTTTAAGGCTCAAGGTGAGTGTGGGGGGGGGGGGGGGGTGGAGTTGGGGAAGGAGGGGAGAGAGGGGAGGGTGGAGAGGGAAGGGGAGAGGTTTCTTTTTTGGAGGTAAGTATTTTACAGCTTATGACGAATATTCGAAAACGACAGGCAAATTTCTTCGGACACACAATGCGGAAAGATGCATTGGAGAATGTTGTAACAACATGAACGTTTGATGGAAAGAGAAGCAGAGGGAGACAGAGGGAAAAGATACTGGACAAGATGACAACATGGCTGGGAGCAGCAAGAACAACAGACACCATTGCTGCAACGCAAGACAGAGGGAAGTGGAGGTCCATGATCGCCCACTCCAGTCGGCAAGGCATCGGATGATTCTGATAATTTTACGGCATTTGCAACTGCATAAGGTCATATGAGAATGCGGGACACACCAAACACTTTCAGTTGGTCGAAAACATTTAATTTTTGCCCGGGTGGCGACCGAAGCCTACCCTTATCCATTTTGGACCACCAAGGGATCATTAATTGGGCGACTTGTACATGGGACCTCCGAGTTGTTTTGCCCTTGTCCGAGAAGCCTATGTGTAGATCTTACCTACCATAAGATCAAGGGTGAGGCTGAAAGACAGCAGTAAAAATGAGCCAAACGAGAAGCAGTAGAAACGGTGTAGAAAAAGTCAGGAGCTCTGAGGAGGGGGCAAAAGAGGTGAGGGGAGGGGGGGGGGCAGAAAATGGAGACGAAAGCAAACGACAGAACATTGTTGGAAGGCAGGAAAGGGTGTGAAAGGAGAAGAACATTTTCCAACGCTATGAGGATTCGAACCCGGCACCTATTGAATGAGAGGCGAACATCTTAACCTCTAGGCCACGAGAGCCCCCAGGGGAGATAGAGTGATCGGATCAATCATAGACTTGTACAATAATACCCTAGACAGTGCTCTGTGACATAAAATGTTCGCTGTATAGTGGAGTGTACCATTTGACAAAGTTTTGAGCTAAGTGACAATAAAGAATAGCACTATCTGTGTAGCGCAAATTCCCGTTTATACCTGGGAAAAACAGGGGGTGGGGGAGGGAGATGCGTCCTCTTTAGACTACAGCGAGACTGTTACTTTGTCCTTTATTCTTTCATGTGGGCTCTTGCGATAAGAGGAGCATGTTTGTCGTCTTCTTTCAAAGCTACGGTATCTGCTATATTGGTAGGGTTGTGTGGTTCGTAATCAAGCGATCATAGATCCAACTCCCCGTCAGGGGCCGGACGTTGTGTCCTAAGAAAAGAACACTTTACACGAATGTTCCTCTCTTTACCCAAGTGGGAAAGGGTACCCGGATGTAGACAGCGAACGTTCTTATCAATTTATTAGCGTTTGAGCACACAATTGTCTGCTATCACTACATGGTTTCCGGGAAGCCGAAAATGTTTCTTAGTGCTCGGAGATCTACTGATGTTTAGATTTTAGTACGGTTTTACGGTACTCGCAACTGCACAAGGTCATATGAGCGCCAATGGGTGGATGTCAACAGAGAAATCCAAACAGGGAACCAGGTTTACTCTGCTCACCTCTTTAGCCTCAACAGCACAAAGTCTGCTTCGACTATCAAGGCACCTCGGTAATAGCACTTCACAAGAGAGTGAAAAACGTACAAAAGAAATAGAGCGAAAATGACGATACATCTCCCAGTATGTTTTTCCGGCACAGTATGAGCATGACATTGATTAATCAGCTCATTTACAATTCTACGGTGCATAAGAACATTTTAATATCCCCTTTTGAGAATAGCCTTAATGGCATCGATAAACCAGCCCCATTACAATTCTACTGTGTATTGGAACATTTTAACATCCCCTTTTGGGAATGGCCAAAAGACAACTTCAGTCGGTAGTCAGTAGCACTGCCCTGGGTTTTTCGTTGTTGTTGTTGTTGTTTGTTTTTTTTGTTGTTGTTGTTTTGTTTTGTTTTTTGTTTTTTGTTTTTTGTTTTTTTTGGGGGGGTCTACTGGTGTAAAAATACACACAACACCTGATGTAGAAGGCATAGAGCAGACATGGGCTGAGTACAGCCCGCGGGCCAGATTAGGCCAGCTCCGGGGGACTCTCGTGGTATAGAGGTTGCGGTGTTCGCTTCTCGTTCAATAGGTCCAAGGTTCGAAACCTGACAGGGACGAAACATTTTCCTATCTAAAATGTTCTCCTTTCACCTCCTCCCCTGCTCTGTAACCATGTTCTGTCGTCTGCTTTCATCTCTACTTTCTGCCACCTCGCCCTCCTGGGCTCCTGACTCTTTCTGCAGCCTTTCTACAACTACTCCTTGGCTCCTCCTTACTGCTATCTTTCTGCCACACCCCAGCTATCATGGTAGGTAAGATCTACACCTCGTCTTCTCGGATAAGGGCGAAAAATGTCGGAAGTCCCGTGAGCAAGTTGGTGGTCCTAAAATCGATCAAAAGTATGTTTCGGCCAAAAGCTGTCATAAATTAAAAGTTCCTACCAAACTTCCCCGCGCGCTCATATGACCGTGTACTTTTGTGAGCACCTTAAAACACTAACGGTACTGAAAAGAACAACAAAAAGCACACACACACACACACACACACACACACACACACACACACACACACACACTCACACAATCCGGCCCGCAAGCAAGTTCAGTCCTACTCCGACTATGCCCTGTAATGGATAACATGTAATGAATGTGTGTGCGATGAGCAGAAGACTAATAAAACGAAAACTGTCAAAATTAATCATGTCCAACTCAGCTGGAAGCGAGAGATCTATTATTTTATCTCGTGAAATGCTCGTGAATGCTATAGTGCTACTTTATCGTTTTATAGAATCTGGGTAATCCAATTTTCTCTTGTTTTATGATTATCGTTACTATTATTATTATTTCTATTATTATTATTACTATTATTATTATTACTATTTTTATTTTTCTATTTTTTATTATCATTATTATTATTACTATTATTATTATTATTATATTATTATTATTACTATTATTATTATTACTATTATGATTATTACTATAATGATGATGATGATGATGATGATGATGATGATGATGATGATGATGATGATGATGATGAAATAATAATAATAATCATCATCATCATCATCATCATCATCATTATTATTACTATTATTATTATTATCATTATTTTTCTTTTTAATTTTCAATATAATTTTTTTTTAAATTGTCATTATTGCTATTGATATAACTTATTATTATTATCATCATTGTTGTTGTTATTGTTATTGTTATTTTTGTTGTATTGTTATTATTATAGTTATTATAATTATATTATCATCATTATTATCATTGTAATCATTATCCTCATTATCATTATTATCGTTATTGATAAAATATTACTTCTCCCGCCCTCCACAGAGGAACGAGGATTACGCTTCGAGTCTGAGAACCAGCTCCATGACGAAGCTCTTAGCTCTAGACTGGAAGAGTTGAGGAAGCTGGAGGCCCTGCTCAAACCTTTGCCCGAGGGTGACATCAGACAGACAGAGTCAAATGGAAAGGTGGCAGAAACCCGTCCGAAACCGTCGGATGAGTTGGAGGAAAAGGATTCGACGCCAGGTGAGGGGGAACAGGACATAACAGAAAATGTTCCCGTGGATGAGATCTCTGAGTTGGATCAAGCAGGTGAGATGTGGATGTAATTGTTTGTCTGTCTGGCTGGCTGGGTGTCTCTATCTATCTATCTATCTATCTATCTATCTATCTATCTATCTATCTATCTATCTATCTATCTATCTATCTATCTATCTATCTCTTTCTCTCTCTCTCTCTCTCTCTCTCTCTCTCTCTCTCTCTCTCTCTCTCTCTGTAAGTGTCTGTGTGTGCAAAAGAAAAAGGTGGGAGGTATGGGTGTGTGTATGCGTGCCTGCGTGCGTACGTGCGTGCGTGCATGCGTGAGTGCGGGCGTGTCGTTGTAAAAAGAATCTAGCATCCTACTAGACAAAATGGGTCGTTTCAATTCCGTGGGTCAGAGGTTAAACTACATAGAAAAGGAAACACAAAGTTAAACGAACATTATTGTGTCGATGCGCTTCTCATCCCTCAAGCGAAAAGTTGATGTTCGTCGGCGTCTTTGATGTGGTTTGCTCATTCCTTCCTGTTTAACATCTATCTCTTTATCTTTTCTGTTCCTTTCTTGGTGTGCTGCTTTCTAACAACACCTCTAATCTATGACGTATTTATGACCTATTTGTATTGTAAGCCGCTACCCTAAAATTACAAAATTCCATCTGTCCAGTAGATATCTACCTAGTTTTGAGAAAAAAAGAATTAGGAAAAAATCTGAGCTTCGCAACGTGTCAAGGTTTTTCAAATACAATTCTTGGAGTATTTTGACTCTAAATGTGAGGCAACGTGGTGGAATCAGGCTCTCGTCAAAACAATCAAAGTGAAGAAACTTGCATGTTTCTACAGGTTTGTGAATTTTTATCAAATTTTTGTTTTTTGGCTAGACACCTTTCATGCCCATTAAAGAACTAATTTCTGTGTGGATTTTTCTGAAAAATGTTGATTAAAGGCACAAGAAATTTAAATTTTCAGTTACCACGGACTCTTAAGGTAAGGAAATAACTAATCTTTGGCGGCCATTTTCTCACTAATTTTACCTCTGAAAACAGGTGACCCCCACCTCTTTTATTTGCCAATATCTCGACTTGTATTCAAATTGGACATTTTTTAAATCCAAATAAAGACAAGTGAACAAGCTTTAAGATGATATGAATAACTCTACAAGCCCAAAAATTCCACCACGCTGCCTCACATATAGTCTTACGATTAATGTAGAGCAGATAGAACATTTGGCTTTTGACCTCATGGTCTACGTTACTCAAATCGGCCAAACAATACCATATAGAACTTCTAAATTAATTCTAAGGTAACGAAGTGCCGTAAAACTCTCACTAAAAATCTAAACTCCCGAAAATTCCCTCGGACTCCCCCCCCCCCCCCCAAATCGCCTCCCACCCCCACCAACAGAGAGCCGGGTCCTCCAGAAGGTGGTGATCCTGACCTACATGCGGAGCGGATCCACGTTCACCGGGAACCTGTTCGAGAGCCACGAGGACGCCTTCTACGTGTACGAGCCGCTGTGGAGACTGCAGAAGAAACACTTCGCTCACGATGAAGTCATGTACTTCCGGAAACCCAACATCAAGTGAGTGATTGATGGTGGAAAAAAAATTGTGAAATGGTATGAGTTTAACCTCCCTGTCAACACTATTAGCTTATTTAAGGGGCGGGACCTCCTAGTTTAACGCCCGTCTCCGATAGGACCGAGCCAAGTGGGACGTTCGTGTAAAATGCCTTTCCCATTGACACAACGTCGGACCGAGCTGAGGCTCGAACCCCCGAACCCGCAATCTCACGATTACGAGTCCGGTAGCCTAACCACTAGGCTACCAAATGATGGTGTACTGTTGAAATGATAATGTCAATGACCAGTTCTTGTCATAGGTCATAGACTTGAACTATAATATCCGTGGTCTCTGAGTGCCATAGACTTGGAAAATAATATATCCTTGTCCAGTGGTTGTCATAGACTAGAAGTATAATATCTTAGACCAGTGCTTACCATGCCATAGAGTTGGAATGATACCCTTGACCAGTATTTATCATAGAATTGAGCTACAATATCCGTTGTCTCTGACTGCCGTAGACTTTGACTAAAATATCCTAGTCTATAGCGATTTCTTGTTTGTTTGTTTGAGCACAGCAAAGCAATAATAAACAATAATTGTCATAATTTAGTGCTGGGAAAAAATAAGACGGACAGACAGAAACAACAGAGGGGAAGTATCGAAGTAGGACCTACCAGTGGTGCCCTCCAGCCTCCCACCCAGTGATTTCCATAGACTAGAAATTGAATATCTTAGACCAGTGCTTACTATGCTAAAGAGTTATGATAATACCCCTTTAGTTCTAGTCAGGTTTTACGGTCCTCACAACTGCATAAGATTATTTAAACGCCATGGGGTCGATGTCAACAGAGAAGTCCACACGGGGAATCATGCTTACTCTGCTCACCTCTCTAGCCTCAACAGCACAAAGTCTGCTTCGACTATCAAGGCACACCCGGAAATGGCAGTTCACAAGAGAGTGACAAACATACAAAAGAAGTAGAGAAAAATGTCGATAGTAAGGATGAGGAAAGAAAAAGCAGCAGTTCCCCCTATGTTGTTCCGGCACAGCATGAACATGACATTGGTTGATAAATCAGCCCATTTACAATTCTACTGTGCATAAAAGGACATGTTAATATCCTCTCTTTGGTGAAAGACATTTTAGTCAGTAGCACGTTACTGCCCTTGGGAGGGGGAGGGGGGGATAATACCCTTGACCAGAGCTTCAATAGACCTGAATTATTATTAGATCATATTATCATAGACCAATCTTATTTATCTTTTATCAATTACCTTTCCAACCTGGAAGGTATTGCCTACTATTGGGCGATTTTGGAAATTTTGATGGACGGCGGAGACCATCCGGGCAGTGGCGGGTAGAACTGAATACTCCGCTTGGAAAAACATATAGATGGCCGGTGTAAAAATCTCAGCCTCTCAATGTGGCTTAAGTGGGTGTTGGTTTTTTTACTTAACGTTTGACAAGAACAGTCTCTCTATACAAAAATATAAAGCAAAAAAAACAAAAAACAAAATAAAAAAATAAAAAACTTCGGTGCAAAGCGTGTGTACCACGACAATGTGTGGTGGAATTAAGGGCTAAATGCCAGTCCCACTTTTGTCGAGTACGTGCTTCACCATCCCCACCTGTCCCTCATTTCCCAAAAGTGGAGTCAAAACAAAAGGTGTGTCCCATAGTGAACCAGAATTACGCTAAAAAGCACGGTTAAGGTTTATGTTAATTATAATGTCATAAGAATTTCGGACTCGCATATATTCTCTGTTGTGTGCAATGTCATGCATACTGAATCAAAGTCCATCAAAATAATTGGACTGTTTCAATACTTCGCCAACCAATATGCGGAAGTACAGGTTTCCAGTACGTCGGGGGTCTAAATTTGATTGTTCATGAGATACCTTCTGAAACTAACCGTTAACGTTCAATATGACATCACTGTTTATTATTTCAAGAAACAAAGATTGTTTGTGTTTGCTTTCCTTGGGTGTTGTTGTAGCTTTTGTTGATGATGGGTTGTTTTGTTTGGTTTTTTTTGGGGGGGAGGGGGGGGTTCGTTCTGGAGAAAACCAGATAGAATTCTCAAAAGAAAACATTAGTATATACGATATCTTTATGCGCAAAACTGGATAAAACTCCACCCTCCCCCCCAAAAAAAGAAAGAAAAGCAACAAAACAAACCACACACACACAGGAATCGAGCTCGAATCTTCCCAGGGCGACGGCGAAGAGCCTGACCGCTCCGCCACTGACGCCGGTACTCCATCAGTTGCAACAACATTTCTGTCTCCGCGATCCGTTCCTGACGTCCTACACGTCTACACAGCTCGCTACACCTCACCCTGACATAGTGTTATACCATGTTTGTTCATTGCCTCTCATCCATTATTTTACATAGCCCTCATTCATGGCCATTCCCTCGAATAAAAATATAAATTACATTCTGGAGACAAAGCGTCGGCAAGCTGATAAAGTGTACCAAATCCCCCCCCCCCAAAAAAAAACAACAACAAAAACCTCAACAAAATATTTCAAAAATAGATTTTTTTAAACAACAAAAGCAAAACTAAAAATAAACAGGGGAAAGACCCCACTAACAAACAAAACAAGCAAAAAACAACAACAAAAATATAAAACAGGAGACTGAAAACTTTAAAATTTTGACAAGATATTTCTTGAGCACAGCATGCAACATATTATACCACCGATGACGAAACTAGATGATCAGAGGGACATGACTGTAAATTCTATCCGGTAAAGCATCGGAAATGAACCCCCAACCACTTAGTTTTTCCCCCAGCTGACGCTGTAATAAACCACAGGATGAAAACCACGGACAATCTAATCTCCACGTTGGGAACGTGTTGTTTATGGAGTGTTTCGGTCAGTAAAAATAATAATGAGGCTTCTGAGGCTTGGGTTCGATCCTTTGTTTGGGGACATGTTGTTTTATTGAGTGTTTCTGTTAGAATAATTAATGTTGAGGACTTGAAGATTTGAGTTCGATTCTTTGTTGGGCCGATTTTGTTTTATTGGGTGTCTCTATCGGTAACATGCTGAGAGTTTGGAGGTCTGAGTTTGGTTCTTTGCTGGGGACAAGTTGTTTTATCGAGTATTTCTGTCAAGTAAATGTTGAAGATTTGAATCCTTCAGTCCGATCCTTTTTTGGGGAAGATTATATTTTAAAATTTTTACGGTGCTCGCAACTGCATAAAGTCACATGAGCGCGCGGTACACACCAAACATTTACAGTTGGTAAGAATTTTTTAATTTTGTCTTGGTGGCGCCGAAGCCTATTATCTTATCTTTGGACCACGAAGGGATCTTTAACGTGTGCAGCTTTCACGCGGGACCTCCGAGATTTTTCGCCCTTGTCCGAGAAGGCTAGGTGTAGATCTTTCCTACCAGAAGATCAGGGGTGTGGCTGAAAGACAGCAGTAAGAAGGAGCCACGGAGTAGCAGTAGAAAGGCTGCAGAAAAAAACCCAAGACAGAGCCCAAGGGAGGGGGCAAAGGTGAGGGGATGGGGACAGAAAGTGGAGACGAAAGCAGACGACAGAACATTGCAATAGAGCAGGAAAGGAGGTGAAAGGAGAACACAT